CAGTGTGATGAACATGTCTTTCAACAAAAAACTGTGGATTCCTCCTTTCACCACGTCGCCTTTTAACCCTGGCACGACCATCGTGCATGCCTAAGCAAAATCGAGACTCGTCACTAAAGACAATACTGTTCCATTCCTGATCCCAGAGTGACCGTTGTCTGCACCACTCAAGGCGATTACGTCGGTGTTCTCGAGTTGAAGGGAGGACCCAATGTGGCCGGTATGAAAACAAGCCAAAACTTCTCATTCGTCGGTAAACACTTCGCATGCCAATAGGTCTTCCGTGTTCTACAAACCATTCATTTGCAATGGACCTGGTAGTGGGGAAACGGTCCCTTAAGGCCAATAATCTTAGGCGGCGATCTTCACGGTCTGTTGTTCTAAGACGGCGTCCAGTGCCCCTTGCTCTTTGCATACGGCCTTCTCGAAGCCATGCCTGACAACACCTAACCACAGTGTCTACACTTCTTTGCACTCTAACTGCAATTGCCCGAAAAGAAAGTCCAGCTTCCCGAAGTCACACTATACGGCCCCTATTAAACTCACTACGTTGACGAAATCGTACAGGTCTCCTTTCTATAGGCATCGTAACCGATCGTAAAGGATGTCAAGAACCAAAATCCGCCAACGTTGATTCTTTACTGCGGCTGAAATATTCATTTTTAGAGCGTTAGTGAATTAAAAAAAGGCAGTATAAAAACCGGAATGTCCAACTGATACGGCTGAAAATTTTTTCACTTGTTATTTACAGTAAGATAAACATATTCACCAACTTTTATTAAAATGAAACCATTTAAGCTGGGTGTTCGGATTTATATGTCACTTAGTATACTTTATGTTAGTTACATCGGAAGAGATATCATTCAAGAAGAAATTTTGTACTCCCAATCTTTAACAGCAGGTACTACATCTGAAGATATATTTAATTCAATATGAAATTTTGTTGAAAAAAATGAGTTTGATTGGAAGAAACTCATTGGACTTTGCACAGATGGCATACCTGCAATGATAGGTGTATGATCGGGCTTAGCTGAAAAGCTCAAGAGAAAAAATCCCGCACTAGTACAGTGTTATTCATCGGCAATCTTTGGCTTCCAAAACATTGCCACAGAAATTACGCCGGACTTTGGACTCGGCTATATGGATTTTAAACTGCATCAAGAGCAGCGCTTTGAACAACCGGTTATTTACTTTACTTTACGAGGATCTCGATTCTAATCACAAAGTTCTTCTGTTCCATACAAAAGTATGCTGGCTATCCAAAGGTAGCATGTTGGCTCGCCTTTATGAATTGAAAGAAGAGAACATTCTTTTTCTTGAGTTCCAAGAAAAACACGATTTCTTGACAATGTTCAAAGATGACACATTTCAATGGAGGTTGGCTTATTTAACTGACATATTTGACTCCTTGAATGCGGTAAACTTGAAACTTCAGTGCAGAAACAACACTATAATAAGCAATTATGATTATATTCAGGGTTTCATATCAAAGCTTCAACTTTGGAATCAAAAAGTGTCTTCTGAAAGTGTTATATCTTTTTCTCGGCTGTACGAAGCAATTAAAAATAACATTCTGGAGGCAAATTTACAAGCTGGCATAAAAATTCATTTGCAAGCGCTGGAAGACGAATTAAAATTTAAAATAAAAGTCTTTGTACCTATATAATGTGCGTTTTTTTTGTATTTATTGAAAAAGTAGAGGGGGGCATGAAAATATAATTTATAGTCCGGGGAGTCTCAACAAAAAAAAGGTTGGGCAACCCTAACCTATCGGGTCTACTACTACTACTACTAGTACTATTAGAGTAGGTCCCACTGAAAGAAAGCCGTTAGACCCGTTTTATATTGACAATGAATCCACGGATTCCTCCATGAATTGAGTTCATGACCAAATTTCAAAAGTATAAAACAGCAACTTGATGACAAATAAATCCATGAAGTTCTTTCTGGATTTCTTCAAGAAATTTTGCCCGAAAAACATAATCAGGATCACCTTGAAAAAATCTAGCTGATTAAATTCGTGAAGACATTTTTGATCTAAAACAGGTATTTCAAATTACTAATGCAAAGACGCACGAAAGATTAATGTTTAATTTGTATAATTATGGTATTAATGAAATTTGAATTTTTACATAAATTTAGAAAAAACGGTTTTATATATATATAAATGTGATCAGATGTTGCGAAAAAATCAAAATTTAAATAATACACATGGCGTATCGATTAAAATAAGCATGTTTGTTTCTACGACCCTTGTAACTGGAAGCGCCACCATTTCAAAAATATTTAAGGCGAATTGCCTAAATTGCTATAATCCCTGATTTACATAATTGTGTAATGTGAAGGTTTCTCGTGACTGATCGAGGTAGGTTACTCTACAGGATGTTTCAGTTTATTGTTGTATAACTTTAAGATTCGATAGAACTTTTAAAATTAATGCATAAAGTCGATATAAACATGGGTCGAAAAATGCGTGGCTTCCGAGATACAGGGTGTTTAAATTTACTTTCTAAAATAGTTTTTTTTAAATATTTCGAACAATATTTGATGTATAATAGTGAAAATTGGTATACAAGGGTTTTTTGGTACGACAAAATGAACCATGGGCATAGTTTTACTGTAGCCGCTAGAGGGCGCTCTCTACTGTACCTGTAGTGTATTAGAATGACCGAAAATTTTTACGTAGTGCAATTTTTTGCTTTTTGAATAAAAAAACTGATTCTTCGCACTTTTCTGCATAAAAAAGCTCTCCTGTGAGTTTTCGTTATAGTTAGCCGTTTTTGAGATATTTTGATTTTTAAGGTTCTATGCATTTTTAATTATTTGTGAGAAAATAATATCTTTTTTTTACATTTTCGATTTGGGCATTACAAGTAATTAAGATGATCGTTTAGATTGTGTTTTTAAACACAGCAATGATTCCTAACTCCAAATAAACACAAAAAAACAGAATATTAATTTGTTTAATTTTCCAATATTATTTTTAACAAATTAAATTAATTATTTACAAATAAAATGCTATTGGATAGTTAGGACAAACATACAAAATCTAAAGTAGTTGCTCGAAATGTAAACCCAATTGTTCAATACACAATTCACATCTACGAATGATCGAACGTGGTGCATTATTCAAATAAGGCCTTATTTCATCACATGCATTCCTGATTCTGTCTATAACATATCTCTTGTGGTTACGGGAGTCTGGTACACTTTTTCTTTTAGAAATCCCCACACAAAGAAATCTAATGGATTTAGGTCAGGGGATCGTGAAGGCCAGGCGACTGGTCCTAGACGGCCGATCCATCTTTCTGGATAATTTTCGTCCAGCCAGTTTCTAACTATTCTCGAATAATGAGCTGGACAACCATCAAGCTGGAACCAGGCCAATCTTCTTAAATCTAACATAACATCATTCCACATATTTACATGTTCAGCCTTTAAAAATTCCAAGAAGGTCGCAGCATTCAACCTTGCAGGCAAAAGGTAGGGTATAAATAGTCGATTACGGTAGATACCAATCCACACGTTCACACTAAATTCATGCTGATAATTTCTTTTCCGAACTGTATGCGGATTTTCATGCGACCAAATATGTTGATTATGAAAATTTACCACTCCACGTCTAGTGAAGCATGACTCATCGGTCCATAAAACGTTACTTAAAAACTCCCTATTATTATCAGTTCTATCAAGAATCCACTGACAAAATGTGATTCTTCGTTCTCCGTCCCCTGACTGTAGTCCTTGCACAGGTTGCAAATGGTAAGGACGTCTATGGTCATTTCTAAGAACACGGTGAACATGGCTTGCTGAAATTCCCAAGGCACCAGAAACTCTCCTAACACTTGTGGTCGGATCTCTATCAAACTCACGTGGAATCATACGGGTAAATCTGCTCTGACGAACATTTATGTTTTGATCCCTTTGGAGATTTCCAAAACCATTTTCGTTATTTGGCGATACACTCTTACAAATACTGAGCGAGTTGGATGTCGTCTGTTTGGAAATCTTCGTGCGTATTCTCTGGCTGCTTCTGCTGCGTTTCCATTTACAAAACCATACACAAAATGAATATCCGCTAACTCTTGATTGGAGAATAAAAATCGCATTTTTATAAAACTTACAAAGAAAACAGGTAAAAGAAACTAAATTTCGTGCATTCACAATTGCAAAAAAACCTTTCAGGTTTCAACAGACAACAAAACTAACTGTCAAGTAATTGACGTTTAACCTTATTCTGCTTTCAATTTCAAAAATATTTGCAGGCACAGCCTACTTCTAAAAATCATCGAAATACTAACTTTTTAACGTTATTTATCATAAATAATTAAAAATGCATCGAACCTTAAAAATCGAAATATCTCAAAAACGGATGACTACAACGAAAATTCACGAGAGAGCTTTTTTATGTTGAAAAGTGCGAAGAATCTTTTTTTTATTCAAAAAGCAAAAAATTGCACTAAGAAAAAATTTTCGGTCATTTTAATACACTACAGGTACAGTAGAGAGCGCCCTCTAGCGGCTACAGTAAAACTATGCCCATGGTTCGTTTTGTCGTACTAAAAAACCCTTGTATACCAATTTTCACTGTTATACATCAAATATTGTTCGAAATATTTAAAAAAAACTATTTTAGAAAGTAAACTTAAACACCCTGTATTTCGGAAGCCACGCATTTTTCGACTCATATTTATATAGACTTTATGCATTAATTTTAAAAGTTCTATCGAATCTTAAAGTTATGCAACGATAAACTGAAACACCCTGTATATGCAAAGCTTTGAACTCTGAATTCAGATGTTGTCTTGTAGTTACTATCGATCTGTTGGTAGTAACATATCACCTTGTAAAGGTAGCAAATTTAGCATAAAAAGGGCGCCCAGCTCTGCATCCTGAAAGCACGACTATTATAGGAACATGTTCACACACAACAATATTGAGCGAAAATGACAAAACTAACAGGATATTCTTTAAAATAGTAATCAGTGGTACGTACATACCTACAATGAGATGTGTGAGAAGAAATCCACCATAGTAGTTGATCTGATAGACAAAGTTCAGTCCATCTTCAGTCAGCCTATCATCACTTCCTCCAATTCCTGCATTGTTGAATAGAATGTCAACTTTCTCAACTGACCTCTTCAACTTATCTGCAAACTCTCTGACAGACTTGAACGACGATAGGTCCAGATGATATATTGAAATGTTTGGATTATCGGTTTTATTGATAACCTCATCTTTGATGTATTCATCTGAGTTCTTGTCAGCGATGATCACCCTACATCCTCTGGAAGCCAATGCTAGCACGATTTCGTAACCCAGACCTGAAAACGTACCTCATCTAATAACATGATTTTTCAAAGGACTGTAAAGATAATCAGGCTGAACTATACTTTAGCGCATATCGCAAATATTTCATTTCTTATTTTAAAATGAAAGATTAGGATGTAACTTGCACGAAAATACCGTTGTTTCTTTAAGGAACCCTCTGCTTGCTATTTTGTAGAACTTTGAAGTTGCATTTTGGGTGCTAATGCTGTGGTATAGAATACTGCTTTATAAGCTGTTATCTTCTTGTTTATACAAAAGATTGTTCAAAATTATATGAATATAACATACACTGTAAGTTACTGTGACACTGTTCATCGCAATAATGCAATTTTACAATATTTTAATGATGAAAATAGTTCATTGTTAAGTAGACTTTTATTTTAGATAATTATTCCCATCACTACACCACCATCACTGTCATATTCTCTACATCTAGTTGCGATGTTGCCAAATTATGGATAGTAATATACTTTAATTTGGTTTGTCAAACTCTTACTCTACTAGCGCAAAGATGTGCAATCGGCACAGGATTGTCATGAAAATGAAAATGCGATTTGGAAGTGTGGCCGGCAGGTTTTGCTGTACTAAATCCACCTTGTGCCCTACGATAGCGTTAGCTTAAGATACTTTTTTGAAGAATGCCTTATACCCTTCACAAAAGTACTTCGGTTATTGTTTTTCCTATATTTGGGTTAAGTTGAAAATCGCTTTTTAGCGACTCTTCGCCTTTTTGTACTTTGTATAAATAAAGCCGGATTATTATTATTATCATTATTATTAGAATTATTATATTATAGTTATAATCTATTTACTTTTTGTATGTACGTACTTAAAGTGAAGCTGATGTTACAAAATATAACTAATTAAATATGATATATATGAGAACTAACTGAAAAAGTCGCTGTTACAAATCACTAAATAATGAAAACATAAAGAACATTGCAAGTTCTTTGATGATTTGATGAAATTATCGTTAATGTTTATTCATTAAGTCAACGAATCGACGTTGGGTATTTTTATATGGAGTGACCGCTGGTGGGTTTTGTATTTTGTATGTCATGCGAGCCGCTGGTGCATTTTCTACTGTTTAGATACATACTGCTCAAAACTTCATCTATTTTTCGGTAAATATTCGGACAACTTTTTATAAAACAAGCCATTTACAATAAATTAAGACTTTTATTTCGCAAATAACATTTCTAATTACGTATTTCTCCCAAAAAAAGGTACAACTTGGCAACAATGGACATCATTTATTTTATCTGTCAAGAAATGAGCGATATATTCAGAATTGTTTGTACTTTCAAATATTTCTTATAAACACAAAAACCTTGATATCATTGAAAATACGCGTAAAAATGGTTAAGGAGTTTCAAGAAGACATTGAAAAATTACAAAACAATACCTCTACACAGTTTACTAAGTGTATACCATCATTTACGTATGTATTTTGATGTGTCATTTAAGCTAATGTGTGGTTTTGAACCTTTTTTGCAAAAAACAACATCTATTTTCATTAGTACTATACAGTGTATGTTATATTCGTATAATTTAGAACATCCTTTTGTACAAAAAGCAAAAAAAGACAGCATATGAAACAATATTCTATTCTGGAGTATTACCACCAAAAATGCAACTTCGAAGTCCTGTAAAATAGCAAGCAGAGGATTCCTTAAAGAAAAAATTACATTTTCGTAAAAGTTACATCCTAATCTTTCATTTTAAAGTAAGAAATGAGATATTTGTGATATGCGCTAAAGAATAGTCCTACCGGTAATCATATATAAATTATTTTTCAGTGTCCACTCCGAAGATATTTACAAGGTAGTACGCCTCTGGTGTACGGTACGTCACACATTTTAAAGAGCCAAACGTTCAGTATGCCGCCTCCCTGTTGCCGTTAGCCGATATTTTTGCAGGAAACCCCATAGCTGTACCACAGAGCCAGACTAGATTAAGCCCATTTTTATCAAAAATGAGTTAGGCTTATGATAATATTGTGAATTTTCATTTGCTACATGCAGCGTCTATCTTAATTTTAATGTTATAATTCCTGATTTTGATAACATATTTACCCTTTAGTTGATGAAATTATTTGTTTGGGAGATTTTAATTGCAACTTATTTAACCTTCAAGATCCACTGGTACCCCTATTTCAAAATTGTAATCTTACGCAGATCATTAGTGAACCTACACGCATTTCTGGAACGGTTTGTACTCTGCTTGATGCGATATTTGTCACTAACTTGTCGATAGTGGCTAGGTCTGGGGTTTTATCGGCGGATAATATTTCAGATCATAAATTGATTTACTGCGATCTTAATGTTTCAAAGGAAAGTAAATTACCTAAAATAATAAAACATCGTCCTTTTAAAAATTTTATCCTAAATAATTTTCTAGCAGATATGCAAAGTTTGCCGTGGAATAAATATTATATGAGAATAATATTGTTAATAAAATAACTATTTTAAATAATCTAATTTTTACATTGTTTATTAAGCATGCACCAATGAAAGAATCACTAATAACAAAACCAAAAGCGCCTTGGTTAACTAACAATATTAAATTATTTATGAAACAAAGAGATGCAGCACTAAAAAAATTTAAAGAATCAAAGATTCAATCAGACTAGATTATAAACATTTAAGAAATTTCATTTTATCGTTGATAAGAAAAGAGAAGAAGGAAACCCCAAAAAACTGTGGTCAGTTTTAAAAAGTTTTAATATCTGTTCTACAAAAAATAATGAAATTCCCCAGATTTTATCAGAACCTGATGATATTAATAGCTTGTTTGCTGCTTTTCTACAAAATAAATCTAACTGTTCGGAAAAAAATAAATTTTATAAAAACAATGCCTTTAAAAATAACTTAACCTTTAACTTTAAATTAGCAGAAATAACAAATATAAACAAAATTTTAAACAAAATAAAAAGTAATGCAACCGGGGTAGATGATATTTCGCCCTTAATGTTAAAATATTGTAGTCCGTACATAGATAAGTATATAAAACATATTATAAACTGTTCCACTGAAACAAGCTACTTTCCCGACAAGTGGAAAATCTCCATAGGAAAACCATTACCAAAAATAACTAATCCATCAAGTTTTAACGAACTTCGTGTGATAAATATACTTCCTGCTTTGTCAAAGATATTTGAAAGGTACGAACAAATTTATGACTTTTGTATGAGTAACTATACAGGGTGTCCGCAAAGTTGGGGTTTTCCTTTTCAGAAACAACTACCCTTGAAATAACAAAGGTAATGTGTAGTGAAACGAGGGCGACCAAGTAAAAAAAAATAAAGGAAAAAGTACTCACTCTCCAGTTGACGAGAAGGGCTAAGTACGTCTCTGCCCGAAATCATACCGCTCCAACAGAAAATGAAATCAGCTGATGCGCTACCGAGCAGACACAGGCAAACAAGGAAGGCAAAATGTTGCGTAATGACCAACCATGAGTGTTGCGAAAGTTATTAATCCCATTACGCGTGAACGTAGATTCGTCTGTCACCAATATGCACTTCAAAAAGTCCGGATTATTGTCATGTTGATGCAACAACCACTCACAAAACCGCACTCTTGCTGGAAAATCGTCAGGTTGAAGGGCTTGTACACGTTGGACTTGAAACGGATACAGCCCCTTTTCACGCAGCGTTTGCCACACTTTAGTTTTTGATACTTGCACTTCTCTAGCCACGTCTCTAGTGCTTGTTGAGGGATTCTCGTCTACGCGATTACCTCTATATGCACGACCGTAACCGTCGGCTGAAGGTTGCATACTGACCTGACACACTGACCCCGACCCAGTTCTGCCGTCGGGTTGAGACCTTGTACCAATCGGTGATGCCCCGGGTCGCGGCTACAGGACGGTATTCAGATATGTTTGATGTTGCAGAGCCCTTTATCTCGGTTCCCTTAAGACATTGGGGTATATGGTACTAAGAAAAATTGCTTATGTTTTCAAGATCTACACGTCGTGTAAAGGAAAACCCCAACTTTGCGGGGTACTCAGTGTGGTTTTCGTAAAAATTTTGGTACATCACTGGCTCTAACAAACGTACTCGATGACATATTAAGAGCAAATGATAAAAAGATGAGTTCAGTTTTGGTACTTCTAGACTTTTCAAAAGCTTTTGATACCATTAATCATGAATTGTTGGTAGCTAAACTTCAGTACTATGGCTTTAATAAGGAAGCATGTTTGCTTTTAAAATCATATTTGACAGGAAGGTATCAATCGATTCTATCAAATGACACATTCTCAGACAAAGCGGAGATCCTATCGGGAGTTCCTCAGGTATCAATATTGGACCCCTTGTTATTTTTAATTTATACATCTAATATCCTTACGTCCTTAAAGTTTTGTAAAGTTCAGGCCTTCGCGGATGACACCCAGGTTTATTGTTTTTTGATATTGAGGATTACAAATATTACGAAAATTGTATAAATGAGGACATTAACACCTTGAACAATCTCTCATTAGGTCACTACTTAAAACTTAATCCGGAAAAATCGCATGTAATGATTTTTGGTAACAAATCTAAGACTCAGTTTTTGAAAGCTAATCTCAATATAATGGCTAATAATTCAAAATTGAATTTTGTTGAAAGTACAAAAGTTTTAGTTTTAGATTCTCAGCTTAGATTTAAAGATCACCTGAAAAATCTTATGCAAAAATCATTTTGTTCTCTAAAAGTTTTGTATAATAACAGACACATACTAAACAGATCACTAAAAAAAATGTGTGAATCCCTAATTCTTTCCATTTTCAATTATTGCGATTTTGTCTATGGGTTTTGCTTAGATCAGGCAAGTAGGGGTCAAATTCAGAAGGTACAAAATGCGTGCCTCAGGTTTATCTATGGTCTGCGTAGGTTTGATCATATATCTCATTTGTATAAAGAAATTAAATGGCTTAAAATGAATGAACGTCGCACTCTCCATTTTTCTAGTTTTTTATTAAAAATTATAAACACTCCAGGTTCACCTGA